TTTTCATGGAAAAAGGTAAAACAAAATTTCATAATAAAGTAACAGAATAACAGTTAATACATTGCATATTGTTATCTTTAAAGTACTTGTTCAGAGTACAAGATATGGGCATTAAAATTTCTCTAATCGATTTTAGTACAAACCTTCCTTTTCAATGAGACACTAATAATATAACTAACTGCATTTTTTTCCCTTTTCCCTGCCATCCTTGCCCCTTTTCCCCATCCTAGATCTTTTCTCCTTTTGAACAATTTCTTCCCATTTACAATATTCATTGTACATTTTAGACCTTATTTACTCTTTCAGTTTCTCACACCAGGAAGACAATGTGATGTTTACATAGGTGAGTCTGATTTATTTCACTTATGAATATTGTCTCAAGTTGCAGTACCAGGTAAATTTAATTACTTTTAAAATTCTTTGGAGTAAAGTTTTAGACAGCTTTCATAAGTCTCAGGTCTTTTTAAAGACAAAATATTCTTGACAAATTTAGAAATACTATTTTATTCAGGAAAATAATTGCATAGAGTCAATTTCCAAAATAATTTAAAAACTTACCTTGTTCTTGCTTCTTAGCTACTATTATGCTATTGTTACAGCCATGTTAAATAGTAAGCTCTCCACATAATATGGAGAAAATTATCATAGACAAGGAAACATTTTTTTTTTTTGGTGCCAGGAATTGAACTCAGGACCTTGTGCTTGCCAGACAGGTGCAGGAAACATTTTGATTTGGGTTGCTATTTGTTTTAATATTGAAAGCAGAATTCAGACTTCTTTAAATTGTATAAAGACAATAATTCACATGCCATCTGAACTCTAGTGCTTGGGGTAACGTGCCATAACTAATTGCAGTAATATTTCTATACTGAAGCATGTGAATATTACGGGGAAAATGAATGACTGTATATCATTCTTGTTCAGGTCAGGTTTTGTTATCAAATTTGGTCTAATCAGATCATACTTTGATACCAAATGTTATGTGTAGCTTCCAGTTTTCAGAGCTTTTTGAACTTGGGAGTTGTGGATAAAAGATTATGGATCTATATTTGATTGTTGTCTATGTATGAATATGATGCTTTAACAGAAGCCTTTCAATATCTCAATTTTCCTGTGGAAAGGCCTACTAAATCAGTGATTTCTAAACATAGGTAGGCATGAGAATAGCCTGGTGAGCTTTTAAAAACTAAAATTTGTGAAATTCATGCTAGCTTTATCAAATTTAAAATTCTAGGGGTTGGCCCCAAAACTCTGTTCGTTTTTGTTTTATTGAAAATTGATTGTGATGCTGCTGGTCTGTGATGAAGCTTAATAGCCAAGTCCAAATGGAAAAATAAAAAGATATAATGTAAAATATTTTGCAAATCTACATGTATTCAATTTTAGGTACTGTCCTTTATTTTGATACTGACCTTATATATTTGGTGTTAGTATATTTAATTACATTTGTTCATGAAAAAAATGGAAAACTTCCATAATAATGGTTTTCTAACTCTTTTGGCAGCACTCTTAATTTTAGTGAAATCTTTTGTGGAGTCCTAGTATATAATATAAATAAGCAGCATCCTATTAATATAAACTTATTTTAGTTATTTAATTGCCCAGCATCATTAGTGTTTTTGTCCATCAATTCATATATACTACTCTAAAACACTTTTCTACTATTCATTTGTTTAATTTTTGAGTACTTCTTTTAAGCATTACATTAGTCTGATGATACAGTGGTGATTAAGATTCATCCTTATTCCTAGAGTGTCCGTCGTCCAGTTGCAGAATAAGGCATGTAAACAAAGAGTTTAGAAAATTGTATGAGAATGTCAGAGTAAGTAGCTAATGACTTTGTCAACTTCAAGTTAGTATTTCTACATAGGAGAGTTTAAGTTGCAAAACAGAATATATGAAAACAGTCTTAGAAATCAGCTATTTTATAATAAATTTATATCAAGTAAAATGCTTCAAGTTACTTTTACTACAGTTTCCTAATGGTGTTGTCCATATTCTAGTACATTGTACCTTGGTTCATGAATTTAATTCTAAGTTTCCTTCATAAGGTCAACATTGAACGTAACCATTGAATTTGATTCAGTTCTCATCCAGTTTGGTTTCTTACATTTTCAAACAATTTTCTTTTTTTAAAAAAAATGTGTACATCTTAGGAACAAGGATTGTAAACTTTTAATTAATACAACCTTTTATTAAAAATGATTTTTTAGATCATGTAAATTTAATCCTTGCCCTCCATTGCCAACAATGAAAAATAAAACACCAGGCACATAGTACTGGGTTTAAGAAACACTATAAAACATAATCAACTCACTTTCCTTACTCCTTCACCAGAAGTACCACTATCTAACAGTTGATGTTTATGGTTTCTGGACATTTGTTTTTATTTTACTACATACATGTACATTGTTAAAATAGAGTTATATATTGCATATGTTAAAATTTTATATGTATGGTGTTACATTGCTGTTTTTTCAAGATGATGTTTCTGATTCACTAATGACGTTTTAATTTTTACCACAATGTATTTTAATGATGAGCATTTAGATTGTTTCCATTTCTCTGTCATTACAAGCAATGCTGCTATCACCATTTTTGTACATATTCCTTAAGAGGACTGGGGACAGTTTTGGGGGGAGTATATACCTAGAAGGAATCGCTGGGTTATAGAAGTTTTACTTCCATTTCTTTTGTTGAGATATGTATGAGATAAAGAAAAACATAAGGAAAAATATCTTAAACTTTTAGAATTAAACAATAGTGAATTAAGTGAAATGTAGCTTGTTGGATATAGCTAATGTCATATAGATGGGATTTTCTAGCCTTGAAACCCTCACATTAGAAAGGAGGGAAGGTTGAAAATTAATGTCACAAGCATTTCTTTTAGATAGCCAGGAATAAAACAGAATAAACTCAAAAAAGGTAAAAGGAAAATATTTAGAAGGAAAACTAATAACAGAAAACAAAGATACAGTACAATAGACAGAATAGAAATGTCTAAAGGTAAATCTGCTGTAAACACCAATATAATATGCCTCTGTAGAAATTCATCAAAGAAAAAGAGAAGGCATAAGTAGCACAGGAAAGAAAAAAGGAAAATATAGATACAGATGTTTTAAAATAATAAATTATAAAAATTATGCCAATAAATTGTAAACCTTGCACAAAATCTAAAATTCCATAACTACAGAAATAAATTCAAAAGTTAATTGAATATGTAAATAGTCTTAAAGCTCTGATTCAATGCTTTATAACATTTATAACATTTTAATATCTAAACTGAGAGGAACAGACCCTGATGTGGTGGTTTTTTGTTGTTTTTTTTTTGTTTTGTTTTGTTTTCCAGTACCGGAACTGAACTGACAACCTTGCGCTTGCCAGGCAGGCGCTATGCCACTGAGCTAAATCCCCAGCCCGACCCTGATGTTTTATTGGTGTTCTGTAGCAATCTCTTAAGGAAAAGCTAACTCTTCTCTTAATACAAACTTTTCCAAGGATTAAGTAGAACAAATAGGAACAATTCTCAAATTCGATACCCCTCAAAAGGGGATAGTGTATGGCAATGGACAATTATAGAGCAACCTCACTTATGAGCAGAGATACAAAAATCTACACACAGTATTCTTAGGAAGGCAAAATGTTTTAGCATTTAAAAAAATCTATACATTTTAATCACATTAGAAGATTTAAAAATAAATAGTAATCTCAATATATGAAGAAAAACATCAAATAAAATTCAAAATTTGATGGAAATCAACATTAAGGTAAATGGTTTATAATTAAATTCTTAGCAAACTAGGTATGGAAGTTAATATTCTTAACTTAAAAGAACTGTTCTACCAAAATTTCTAGCAAATATCATCCTAATAGTGAATAGTTAGAATTCCTCTCAAAATCAGTAATAAAAATCATCCTGCTCTATTTTTTTAAAAATTTCAACACTGGTCTGTGTTAGCAACAAAAGAAATAAAGTCTAGACTGGATATCATGCAAACCAACATTATATTCAGATAATACAAGTATCTACTAAAGAAAACTTTTTTGAAAACAAATCCTGGTATTGTGTGGGTCTTTTGAACCCTCTGTGATGCTCAGGTAAACATATGCAAATCCAGTTAGATGGTGCATAAAGGTGCGTGCAAATCCCCTTTTGCCACTTTTGCTTATATGGACACTTCTTGCTGTTCATTATACCAACTGGGTTAACACCTGGATTATTTCCTCTATGCCTCAGGGAAAGGTACGGAGATGCACAGCTGGCTACTATAATGCTAAAGTATAAATTTACAGTAGAAAAGTAAGGAATGGGTCCACTGAACCCAAGCTTATGCCTTGAGTAAATAATAATGACTTTTTCTATAGATACAGTGATTTATTTGAAGATGATTTAGAAAGTGAAAATTCATTCATTTTCCTTTCTTTGCTTTTATCTATATTAGTGATTATAATTTTCAACAGTATGTGATTTCCCCTCACATCCACCCTAAGTGATATTTGGAAATGTCTGGAGTCACTCTGTCCTTAGACACCTCGAGTTTGTTATGATTATTAAGTTTTCCTTGCTGTTCATAATTTACTTCTTTTGAAGTGTAAATTGATGAGTTATATCAAATGTTCAGGATTGTCTCATCTTTTCTCCTAAGTAGATTTGAGTTTATGCTTGGGAAGAACACTATAGAAGTGATGCTGTACCCTTCTCGGGTTATCATTTCAGAAGGTAATGATATTGAAGTATCTTACTAGTGATGGTGTTCACCTTGGTAAAGGTGTATTTGTCAAGTTTTTCTCCTGAAAACGTAGTTTTCCCTTTATAATTAAAATAAATAACTACATTTTAATAGAAGAGATATAAACTGTTTTATTTGGTGAAATACTTTGTGTTTAGTTGGTTTAAATTGCCTAATATTATTTGATAAGTTTTGTGATTTTAACATCATATTTGTAGGTAGTTATGCTGGGAAACTGCCTTTCCGATTAGCCTTAACCTGTATTTTTAGAACACCTATTTAACTTGAAGTTTGCTGCAAAAGAACTTAATAGGAATGCTAAGAAATGTGACAAAGAAGAAAAGGCTGAGAAGGCCAAGATTAAAAAGGTAGGCCACTTTTAATATTTTTCTCATAAAATAAGCACAATAATGGAGGCATGATAAATTGTGTAATGTGTTTTATAGTGAAAAAAGATTAATTACTGCTTTCAGCATTCTAAAACAAATTATTTTCCTAAATAATTATCAATGGCCATTTCTTATTATGTTTAAATGTGTGTTGCTACTTATGTATGCAAGCATGGCCCACATAATAGTGTAATTGTTCTGGGTTATCTACATCTAAAGGCTGTCTTTGCTTTTTAGCTAAGACCACTTTTACTGAGGAGTATAAACCCCATACTTAGGAATAATATTTAAATTTTGGTAATTTTAATTTCTATGCTTTAAAAAGTTTTATGTCTAAATATTGCATAGTATTCATAGTTATTTTGGTTTCTGTATTTGCTAGGAGGATTCATAAGACTCAGTATATAGCTGTACTCAAGGCTGTTCTTTAGTTTAGTGAAAGGATACAAAGCACAATCAGTAAAGGAAAGATACAGGCTCAAGCTTCCAAGAGCGCTTTCCCAATGGAGTCATACAAAGCAAGCCTAATTCTTCCAGCTATTTATTACAGCACTTGTGAAATATTATTTACCTGGGAAGTTCTCCTGTCCTAGATGTCTGGGGTTTTTATTGGTAATCAGTAATGTTGGAATTTGCTATATAACACATGCCATAATTCCAGATCCCAAGAAGGAAATTTGGTGTTTGATATAACAAGCTGTGTTTGTACAATTAGGCATAGTGAGCCACTCTTAACAATTCTGAGTACTATCCATAAATCTAAGTTTCTTGATAACAGCCAAGTGTGAAACTCTACAGGTAGGCTTTTCTAGATCTAGTAGTCTCAAGTCTATCATGTTAATTATTTTTTGAAAATGTATATTTATACATTTATGTTTAATGCTGTGTTATCTTGGATTTTCAGATGTTTCATAATAGCATGTATCTAGTCTTTACATTGAGTCACTTTGGGTATACTATTAATTGAGAGAACTGTACATGAATAAAAGAAGATAGGAGTACTTAGGCTTAGTTGTAAGTTGATGTATTGATTATCCCTTTCTAAAATTTATGCCCAGCTACTACAAGTAAAGGATAACTCCCAAAATATTTTTGTACATTGAGGTTAGACATAATGAAAATATTACTTTTAAGGTATCAGATAGCAGACAAGCATAACACTATGTAAATGTAGAGATTATCCTACCATATATAATCCTGATTAATGTCTTTTTCTGTAAGCAGCATGATGATAGGGAGCAGTGCTTCTTGAGCATGTATCTAGTGAACTGTGATTCTACTCTTCCTGCACAAATTGCTTGGCAGTTTACTTTTTACTTTCCTACACTTTCTATGAGATTTTTACTCTTCATCTTCCTCTATTTTCCCACTCTATTCAAACACAGGGCTACAACAATTTTTTTAATTAAAAAGTTTTAAAATCATTTTCTGTTGAGATTATACACAAGAGGTTGGATTTTAAAATGTGCAAATCCATATGCCAAAAATGTTTTCTTTGGATTGAAGACAGAAACTCTTTAAAAGTAAAACCACATACACACTACAAGAGAAAATGAGGGGCACTGTTTTTTAGTCATCTTGGAATGGGTACTGGAGAATCTAAAACTTAAAGACCAAAAAAGATGTGATGTTTTTAATGCTCCTGGGAAGATACCCAGAAGAGGAGTAGCTGGGTCGAATGGGACCTCTAATGCTAATTTTTTTAGGAATTTCCACACTGATTTCAACAGTGGTTGCACCAGTCTATGCTCCCACTAACAGTGGAGAAGGGTTCCTTTTTCTCCAAATTGAAAAATTTGACTACATTGGAAAAAAATCTGTGTATCTAAAAATCCCCCTAAAAAGCCAAAAGAAGATGCCTGAGAAAGCATATTTGAAGCAATGTGATAGTATACCTACTGCCTTAAGAATTCTATATATTGAATAGATACAATTAGGAAAAGACTAATAACTTATTAAAAATTAGGCCAAACATATAGTTTACAGAGCAGTCTTGTAGTAGCTTACAGAAAAGTCCTTTTGAACTCAAAAGCACTCAGTCTCAATTTTAACATACATTCCTATTTAAATATAAATTAAAATATGATAGTATTATTTCTCAGATTTAAAAATATGATTTTATCTTGTGATAATGAGGATCAAACCCAGGGCCTTGTGCATGCTAGTCAGGGTCTCTAGCACTGAGCTACATACATTGCCAGCTCCAAAAGTTTGATAATATGCTTCATTAGGAAAAGAGGCAGTGATACTTTGTTGGGGACAGTAAAAATTCACGTAAATGTCAGAGCAATTTGGCAATCTGTATTAAAGTTATAAGTTCATATAGTCCTTTGTGTAGTAATTCCAATCTTAGGACCTTGTCTTAAAGATATGCTTAATGTGTGTGCATGAGTGTGCCAAGTTTATTTGTCATAGTACACAAAAAAGTAGGCAAAATCTGCATGCCCGTTAACATGCAGCCTGTTAAATTATGGAACCATTATATGATGCAGTACTGTGTAGATCTTGAAAAGACAGATAAGCTGATATTTTGAAATGGAATACTATTAATTGAGGAAAGCAGGAAGCAAAATTTTCCATGTATTCTCTATACTCTTTCCAACGCTGTGTTAAAAAACATGTTGGAGCAAATCTGTTGAAATAAGGTATCACATTTTTTGGATTTGCATTTCTTAAGAATGAGCTTGAACATATTTTTACGGTTGGACAGTTTTATATTTCTTTGTGTGTGATTGTGTAACTACCTGCTCATAAACTTTGGATCTTTTTCTATTGTGGTGTTCCATTTCCTAAGCTGATTTGACTGAGAGTCATAAATTTTATGATCATTAGAAAAGTAGTGCTTTATTCTGAGAGGCTGAGGCAAGAAGATCACAAGTATGAGCCCAGCCTGGGCAACGTAGTGACTGAGACTTTGTCTCAAAAAAAAAAAAAAAAAAAGGCTGGGATTGTAGCTCAGTGCAGAAGCTCTGGTTCAACCCTTAGTACTGCCAAAAAATTATGCCTTAGACAGATGTCCCTTCTTTAACATCTATTTTCCTATTACTATGGTCTGAATGTTTGTGCTCCTCTCTCCTTGCATGTTTTATGTTGAAATGTGGTCAGCAATGTGATGGTATTTGGAAGTGGACCTCTGGAGGATTGATCATCAGGTCTTTTTGTTTTGTTTTGTTTTGTTTTTGTTTGTTTGTTTGTTTTGTTTTTGGTTTTTCTCCGGTACCAGGAACCGAACTCACGACCTTGCCCTTGCCAGGCAGGCGCTTTTGCCGCTGAGCTAAATCCCCAGCCCCCCTCTGGAGGATTGAATAGGTCATCAGAGCACAGCCTTCATGAATGAGATTAGTATTCTTATTGTTATTAATGCCCAGAGCGCTGCCTTGCCCCTTGCACCATGTGAAGATATAGAAAATGCTATTTGTGAACCAGCAGGTGGGCCCTTATCAAATACTGCATCTGGCAGCACTTTCAACTTAGACTTCTTAGTATCTTGCACTGTAAGAATTAAATAGTTGTTCATGAGCCACCCAGTTTATGGTGTTTGGTTATTGCAGCCCAAACAAACTAAAATACCTCCTTACTCAGTATATTATATTGCTGTCTTGCAAAAATTGAAACATTAGAAGTGCCTTGACTTTCCACTTATCCTTCTCCTCTAAGACTTGCACACATCCTCAATTAAACTACATTTCTATGTTTGCATTTTTCCTCCTATTTCAAAACTTGACTTTTTCTTCATTTTGCTCTACTTGACTGAGCTCTTGACACCATTACCAGTTTCCTCCTATGGACCTTTTTTCATGAGTCATTGTGTCACCTAGTAGCGTTTGAGGGGGTCCTCCAGAGAAGAGATGGGGACCTCACTTGACCCCTACCATAGTGTGTTGATTGACTCTCTTAACATAAGAGCATCTCAGGACACATTAGTGGAAGGCATAGGCTGATGTTAGGCAGGGCTTTGAAGTGAGAAAAAATAGGAAAGGATCTTCAGTTTGATGAGCTGAAGCTGGAACAGTTTTGATCAGACTGGTCCATTCACCAAAGAACAAGGGTAGCCTTTATGGATTAGTTGAGGTAGGCTGGAGTCTGTTTGATCATTATCTCATTTCTTGTTTGCAAGATGGCTCTGGGTGAAGTCCTTATTGCTTATGGGAGTAATTTGGTTTCCATGAGATAATTTTTCTTTTGGGCAGCCTCAGTTTTGTGGAGTCTCTACTAGAATCCAAGGTGATCATAGGTTTGGGGAAATAACTGGAGACTTGTGGGCATAGTTGAATGTTCCTGTAAATCTCCTGATGTCCTGGGTCCTGAAGCTGGATGAAATAGATTCTGTAAATTCAGGGCTAATAAACTTTTGCCAGCTTTTAGACAGATGCTTCCTAAAGATTAGCATGCCTATATTCCTGAATGCAAAACTGAGAAAGGATTTGACCCAATTTTATTTTATTTCTTTTTTCTTTTCTTTCTTTCTTTTTTTTTTTTTTTTTGGTACTGGTAATCGAACTCATGACCTCAAGCTTTTTTTTGTCTTTTTGAGACAGGGTCTCGCTATGCAGTTCAGGCTGGCCTTGCGCTCACTTTGTAGCCCAGGCTGGCCTCGAACTTACAATGATCCTCCTGCCTCAGCCTCCCAAGTACTGGGATTACAGGCGTGTGCCACCATGCCCGGCATGACCCAATTTTAATATAATAAAGGATACAATATGCAGAACAAACTTCATTCTATTTCCAGTTACTCATTGGGCATCTGCAGGCTCAAATGAGGAATTACTCATATTTTAGCAAATTCTGCTTTTAAAGTCCCTGACTGCCTCTAAAGAAACACAAGTCATGCTTGTAATGATTAACAGGTTGAAGGCTCAGGGGTTCCTTTGTCCTGTGTCTCTGTGGTGGTCTCTGACTGGATAATTCCCTGTTCATTCTCTTGTATTTTTTTACTTTTTCCACCTTTAGTGGCCCCTCCCTTTAACTGTAATTATGCTTTCAGGCTTCTGCAATCCTCCAAAGCCTGTGCTTTGATCCCAGAGATCCCACTTGTTTTTATGTAGTAGCTTAATATATTGCTTCCTCTGTGCAATTCATCCTCAAATGTAGTCTTACTGATTATGACCAAACTCATACTGCTGCCTCCACTTACTTGACACTGTACTCAGCAGTCACAAAGATCTCCAAAGATGACTTTACCAAATGCTTTGTTAGATTTTTCAAGTGTAAAGACTATTTTTAATCCTTTTTCTGCTATATTTGATACCATTGATTTTCCTGTCTTTGAAACTCCTTGACTTCAATTTCATTGCATGTTTTGGGCTCACCCACTACCCTAACCATTACCTCTCAATCTCCTTCTGTTAAATAGCATCCCGAGAATATCTGTTGTGGAAATGCTATAGTTATTTTAACAAGTGCAAATTTAAATTCATCATCACACTCTCCCTCTCTAAAAACTAATTTTTGCCTAAGCTTAATTGACCAATGAGGAAATAAGCAGAGAAAACAGCACAGACATGTAAGTATGAGAGTACAGCATGTTGGGAAACTACAAGTTATTTGGTTTTGTGGAGATAATGCAGGTTATGAAGGCCTTGTATATCATAAGTTTTTCATTGATGAGGAACTAGTGGAAAAGAATGATGAGGAAAATTTCATGGAGAAAATGCTTGTTTGAAAACATTTTGGCAAGAACAGGTTATGGCAAAAATCAGAAAACTATACAGCTTGCAAGTTAGATCCAGATTCCTGTCTCTTTCGTAATGAAGTTTTATAGGGACATGCCATACTAATTCACTTATATAAGACCTGTGGTTTCTTTTGTCCTCTAAGAGCAGAGTTGAATAGTTGCTATGGAGACCACATGGCCACTTAAAAGTCCAAAATATGTATTTTCTGTCCCTTTACAGAAAATGTGCCAAACCTCCAGGTTATAGGACTCTAAAATCGTGTTTACTGACTAGATCGTTTTTTGACAGCCTTGGCAGAAAAAACTTTACCTCTGTTTGAACAGTATAGATAGGAATAGAGAAAAAGTTACTTAGAAATCATTGAGGTCAGAGAATCTTGATTTGATGATTGATTGTGGAAGATAAAAAGAGGGAGTCAATAAAAATGACTGTGATTTCTGCTTCAACTGGTGACTGGAATGAATATATTGGTAGCTTTCCTCTAAATGAAGAAAAACCAAAAAGGGGTCAGGTTGTTGAGCAAGAATGTTGAGCGTTTGATATACTAGGTGAAAGGTTCCTGTCCTGATAAAGTAGTCTAACAGGAAATTGAAACTTCTGTACAAAAGCTCTGGAAACAGATTTGATGTGGAGATAACAAATATGAGAGTGCATAGTGGACAGGACTGACCAGGGAAGAGAACAGAGTGAGGACCACACAGATTGAAGAAATTTTTCTGGGAAGCACCAGCATTTAGTGGGATTGATAGATGGACAGGGAGCAGAAAGAATCGGTAAAGATCAAAAAGGAACAACTAAATCGAAATAAGGAGAGCTAAGGTAAAAGAGGTTTATTGGAATTCTAGGGAGGAGAGACTTGACAAGAAAATGGTTGGTAGACAAAACATAGAAGTAAGAAGAATATTCAAGACTACCTATTGAATATGACCGGTAGAAAGAGTGATGATAGTAACAAGGACAATTTCAGTGGTGTAGACATAAAGCCCTGCTTACAGCCAGTAGAAGTGAATGAGAGGAACATTGGGAAAATAGGTTCTTTAAGACCTTGTTTCTTCCTCCTGCTCCAGACTCATATAACGGACTGCCGCGTCCCACGCAGCTGTCAGTGTTCCAAGGTGAAGACAGTGTGAGGATGGAGAAAAAAGGACAAGAGTCAGGATACAGAAAAAAACTGAGGCCATATGGAGGGAGCCCTCTTTCCTAATGGGAAGTAAGGAAGGAAGAAGAAGGAAGAGGAGAAGGAGAGAGCTCCAACAGCTGCAGTGCATTTACTTATACACTTGGGAGGTTGAATATCACGTGAAACCTCTCCGCATAATAGTTTATCCACGTGGCTTATCTCAGGCTGCTGTGTTCTTGAGACTAGAGTAGCTTATTCATGTGACTTTCCTCAGGCACTGTGTTCCTGACACTAGCCTTTTTCTGGTCTCACACATGATCAGTCTCCAGCTTTAGCCACTCCTCACATATCACCCCTTTTTGTTTTATAGTTGTAAGTGATGACTAGTTATTGAGAAGGAACTGTATTTGGGGGACTCTGTAGGAGACCTCCTTCTCGAATAGTTTCCATTCTCTTGGTGTCATAACTTGTCCTATAACCTCTATTAAAAGTAAGGTAAAAGGGGCCGTGGCGCTTTTAGGTCGTGCTAGCTTGTTTTAATTCTTTTTTTTTTGTTTTTGTTTTGTTTTTCTCCGGTACCAGGAACCGAACTCACGACCTTGCGCTTGCCAGGCAGGTGCTTTGCCGCAGAGCTAAATCCCCAGCCCCTTTGTTTTAATTCTTTCAGGGTCCTAAAAGGTATGACTTCATGAAGACGTCTGACATGTCTTGGATTATTAGGGATTTGGAGTTCAGCAACAGAGTAGATATGTTGAAATACCTCCATGGGCTCCCTTGCCTATCTGGCTTCTTTTAATGCCAATTGCAAGAGAGAAAGAGAGGATGATTCTACTCCCTAAGAGGTGGAAGTTTCGACCTATGACATAGTTCCTGTAAGCTGAAGAGGCAGAAGCTGCCACTTGTGATGAAGTTAATGTTACCAATTTTACCTTAGGCAACTGTGAAACTGAAGCTGCAGTGAAACACTTCCCTAGTGAGGAAAGGTCTTTTTTGCCCCCCACCATTCCTTCCTTATCTGATTGAGCAAAGCTAGAGGGTTCAAGCTCTATCAATGTGGCTGTTGCCTTACTATTCCTTTTTTGCTGGGGTCTTGGTTTTAAAATAGTGCTCCCAGAGGAATCTTCTGTGGTTGTCTCAACAGGCACATGACTGTTGAGACACTCCCTGATCCAGGTCCAGAAAAGAAAAGTAAGTATGGCAATCCGTATTAGAACGAGGATTCATATATACTCATGTTTCATGCTTGATAAAATCAATATACTTTTCTGTCTTCTCTTAAGCCTGTTTCTCTCTTTGGCTTCTCTGGCCCGTTTCTCTCTTTGGCTTCTCTTAAGCCTGTTTTTCTCTTTGGCTTCTCTTAAGCCTATTTCTCTCTTCGTGCACACACAGCTAGAAGTCTTCTCTTACCTGTTATTGGATATGTTTCCTTGTTCTCTGGGTCCCTGTTCAGGTGCCAAATGCTGCATCCTGTGTAGCTCTTGATGTTCCCAGGGTGAGGATGGTGAGAGGATGGAGGTGAAAGGACAGTAGTTGAAATGCACTAAAAACTGAGGCTGAATGGAGCCCTCTCTCCTGATGGGAAGTAAAGAAGTAAAAAGAGGAAGAGAAGGAGAAGGAGAGTGCTCTAATGGCTGCAGTGCATTTATTTATACACTTGGGAGGTTGTATATCACGTGAAACCTCTCTGCCTAATAGCTTATCCATGTGGTTTGTCTCAGATATGCTATGTTCTTGAGACTGGAGTAGCTTACTCATGTGACTTGCCTCAGGCTCTGTGTTCTTGAGACTGGAGTA